CGCGGTGACGTAACGCGCAACGCTAACGTAACCGTAATCAACGTCCTACTGTGACGTGGCACTCATTACGCCACAGGCAAGCACTGCAGCTATATAAGTGGATGCACAGTGCGTATCGATCAGTTCAGTTCGAGTTCCAGCGTGGCTACCGCCGAAGACATTCCGAGTTATAAAGTAACAGCCAGCCGACTACAGTTGGAGTATAGCAGCCGTCGCGGTAAGAAGATCCGGACGTGTGTGCGATTGTGTAATTGGGAGCGCGTGATACAGTGATACAAAGCTCCCCTACTGTCAACGTGTTACTACTGAAGACAGAGTGAACTGATTTGCGCATAGGGTTATAAGTCGTGAAACCCCGCAACAGTGTTAACAGATTACTGCGCTTAGGGTTATAAAGTGTGAAACCCCGCAACTGTGTGATAATTAATTGTAGCCGTTATTTGTAGATTGTTAAATAAACCAATTAACCATCTCTACGGCGTCTTCAGTAAGGCAAACACGTTACATTGGTGTCAGAAGTGGGATCAGTAACGCAAAACACGTTACAATATATAAAAATGGCCAAGACAGTTAAAATCCATGTGTATACAATCATAACAGTTACACAGACTATCAAGAAATTTTATAAATTAAACACTAGAATGAGGAGGAGAAGCCATGGCATTGTGAATTATGCTGTGGTAAGCAGGTTCTTTCATAAGAATGAAGAAATAAAACAAAACATTTATAAGGAAAATTAATAACCATGAAGTTTAGTCATAAGATGTGTATGAATGTTCTCATCTTTATCTCATTCAGAGGAGACTATGTCTATTACTTCAACACCTGACTTTCCAATACCAATTCATAAGACACAAGAACAAGATCAGTGAAATCAATAACAGCTTCATTGTATCAATAGAACTGTTAGTGCCTTGGATTCTGTGTCAGTGTATGTTTTCTTTAAAGACAAAAAAAAACAAATAATTGTGAACACTTTCAATGACATCAGAAGTATATGTTATATGTTATGTCTGCACTTTGTAAGCTAACATAAGTAACAGAAATGTGTGACACGGTAATGTCTATGAAACAAATCAGCCATTTCATTTGGTTACGGCAGTAAAAAACCAAAAGTTGCCACCAAAGTCAATAACAAAGAAGTTAAATGCTAACAGTGGCCAATGAGGTGTTAAAATTGCCAGTAAGAGATCTGGAAACAGTACTGCATGCTGTTATGTCTACATGTGGAAAGTGTATGATGATGCAGACAAGTACAGTGCTACTACCATTCGATTTGAGGTTTCCATGCTGGTGAAGAATCACGATGTGGTCTTGTGGGTTATGACACAACATAATCTACTAGGTGGGTACAAATGTTTCAGAAGAACAGGATGTCTCCATCCTCAGGATATCCTGATGCTTCAGCATATTCCTCCATTGGTATTGCTGACTTTAGGAAATGATTACATATGAAACATGGCATTCATGTCAAGTTTCATGAACTTCAGTCAGATGATACACAAGGAAGAGTGGGGAGGGGAGGACAAACGTTATGTTCCTTTAAATGTGAAAGCGTAAGACGTAAAGTGTCAACAAATTTAATATCTTAATAATTGGGCTTGGAACATAAAAACTATAAAATTAAGGAGGGTAAATCTTAAACAATGGAATATTAAGAAAATGCCAGTACAAGCAATCCTCAATTTATACAACACTTTTGTTCGAAAACGAAAATAGCTGCAGAAGTTGAAACTGCATAAACTGAACATAATTTTCCTCTCTCTCTCCTCTAAGTCCTCCTCTGGCAATCACACAATACTCTACTCTCCTTCTCTCTTCCTCTCTTGATCAGCCAGCAAGCAATTTATGTTCAAGTGAGTGTTATTAATTCAAATCAACTGAACACATTAAAATGGTATCATATTCTTGGGATACCCATGAAACTAGTTACGTTGATTAAAATGTGCTTAAACAAAACGTATAGTAAAGTCCGTGTAGGTAAACATTTGTCTGATAAATTTCCTATCCAGAATGGTCTAAAATAAGGAGATGCTTTAGCGCCACTCCTTTTCAACTTTGCTTTAGAATATGCCATTAGGAAGGTCCAGGAAAACCAGGTGGGACTGAAATTAAATGGGACACATCAGCTGTTGGTCTATGTAGATGATGTGAATCTACAGGGTGATAATGTAGATACCATAAAGAAAAACACAGAAACTTTAACTGACGCAAGTAAAGAGGTTGGTCTAGAAGTAAACACAGAGAAAACTAAGTATATGTTGCTGTCTCGTTACCAAAATGCAAGGCAAAAGCATGATGCAAAGATAGGAAACAGATGTTTTGGAAATGTGGCACAGTTCAGGTATTTGGGAACAGCGATAACAGATTGAAACCTGATTCAGCAGGAAATTAAGAGGAGACTGAACTCAGGTAATGCTTATTACCATTCAGTCCAGAACCTTTTGTCTTTTCATCTGCTCTCCAAAAACATACAAATTAGAATATACAAATCTATAATTCTGCCTGTGGTTCTGTATAGGTGTGAAACTTAGTCTCTTACATTAAGGGAGGAACATAGACTGAAGGTGTTTGAGAGCAGGGTGTTGAAGAGAACATTTGGACCTAAGAGAGATGAAGTGACGGGAGGTTGAAGAAAACCGAACAGTGAGGAGCTTCATAACTTATACTCTTCTCCAATTATAATTAGAATGATCAAGTCAAGGAGGATGAGGTGGGCAGGGCATGTAGCATGAATGGGGGAGACAAGGAATGCATATAGGATATTGGTGGGAAAAGTCAGAAGGAAAGAAATCACTGGAAAGACCAAGGCATAGGTGGGTGCACAATATTAAAATGGATCTTAGAGAGATTGAATGGGATGGGATGGATTGGATTGATCTGGCTCAGGATATGGACCAGTAGAGGCCTCTTGTGAAGACAGTAATGAACCTTCGGGTTCCATAAAATGCTGGGAAATTCTTGAGTAGCTGCAGAATTGGCGGCTCCTTCAGAAGGACTCAGCTACATGAGTAAGTAAGTATATATATAAATATAACAAGAAGTACCTGTACACTTATAACATTCCACTTACTAAGAAAATTACAACACATTCAGATGAAAAGTTACCTCTGTCTCTCAAGGCTGGCAGATCTTCTTCAACAAGTTGAAAATCATTTTCCTTTGGTTCACCAACAAAGTGTTTTACAAGTATGAATTTCTTTGTTTTCACCATGTTGAATGGCAGCTGGACAATATTTCTGTGTATACAAAGAACCAAAGTTTTAAAATTAAGGCATTCCACAGGTATGACACACAATTATTGGATGCTCAATTTCTGTTTTCTCATTTACTTTCTGGACTTATGAAAACAAACAGCCACTACATCAACGAACAAATAAAAGCCATCCATCTGGTTACAATTCTTAACCTAATCAGTTCACTGTACATTAAACCAACCTAAGTGCTCATAACAATACACTACCAAGATGAAGCAACATAAACAAAAGAAGTTGCAAAATGACAGGAAAAGTAAAGTTGCCACTGTAGAGGAAACATGGGGAAATGAAGGTATAGCTCTATACACTCTTAACCTTGGCAATAAATGAGTAGTGAGCTTCATAACCCTGGACACTTTAGCTCCAGGAAGAGAATGTCCAGTGCCCAATGGACAGTAGGCTGAATGACTCCCAGAACCACCCTGGATGCTGTGAAGAAACAATAATCTCTTTGCTTCTGCCACAAACAAATGCCAATTCTTTGGTCATCCAGCCTAGCTGATATACCAACTGAGCTACTGCAGCTCACATAAAAAATAATGACCTTCATAATTTTAACTCTGTTGGGCATTAAGACAATTAAATCCAGAATGAAAAGATGAGCAGGGCATGTAGCACACAACCTCAGTGGAAGAAACTACTATGGTGACCTAAGTGAAAATGGGAGGACAATATTAAAATGGATATTACAGAAATAGTCTGTGGGAGGACAATATTAAAATGGATGTAGGTGGGTGAATAATATTAAAATTGATCTTAAGAGATAGTATGGGGTGGTATGGACTGGACTGATCTGGCTCAGGATGGGGACCAGTGGAGGGCTCTTGTGAACATGGTAATGAACCTTTGGGTTCCATAAAATGCTGGGAAGTTCTTGAGAAGCTGCACAACTGCCAGATTCTCAAGAAGGGCTCGGCTGCATGATGTTAGTTTAGTTCAGAAGCTTACTACAGAAATGGTCTGTGCACATGTGAAACTGAGAGGATTCAGGTTTGGGATTGTTGGTGAGCTTCTCTGATGACAGTGATGAATTGGGTTTTCGGACTTTATCCATCGTCCTGGTTTTAAGATAACTAAGAAAAACATGTTTTGGAAACTGGATCTGTTTCCGTCCTCAGGTGGGTCCCTTAGAAAGAGCCTCAATCACTGGAGTCTTTCTAAGGGACCCAACAGAATAGGTGTTTTCCCTCACCTGAGGACAGAAACAGATCCAGTTTCCGAAACGTTGTGTTTTTCTTAGTTATCTTAAAACCAGGACGATGGATAAAGTCCAAAAACCCAATATCTCTGTGTGTTATACACCATCGTGAGAATCCTATAGTAACTACAGTGATGAATGTTCAGACTCATAAGATGGTAACCAGCTACATCAAGTAAGTTAGACTGGTTTGTTTTTGAACTTGTGACCATAAATAAAACCTATAATTCCCTCAGTGAATACTTAAGTGGATTACAGTGGTTTACAAATGAGTGTAAGACCTCAACTGAAAGGAAAGTACATGTGTACCAAACAAGATGTTGTGACCATGTATTATGGACTGTTATGTAGTTAGCTGACATTCTAGTCACTAAGATAGTAACTGCTGGCCACGGAAGCCAAGCGGTCTAAGGCATGTACTGTCTTCGCTCGCTTGGAAACCAGGATCGTGGGTTCGAATCCCACTCAGGGCATGGATGTTTACTTTGTGCGTGCGGGTTTTTCTGTGTTTGTGTACAGGTGAGGCCTTGCAACAAGCTGATCACCCGCCCAAGGAGTCCTACCGTATGTGTAAGATCTAGAAAAACCGAAGTGAATGGAGAAGTTCTTGGAGGTAGGCCTAGGCCCACTGGGGCTGTAGTGACAAGGAAAAAAAAAAGATAGTACCTAGAATCTACAGTGACATGTGAGGACAGCCATGTGTGTCCATACATATACATCCATCCATCCATCAGTAATCTGTCAGACGACAGGTCCACAGCCTGTTCCAAAACAGTTTCTCCACTTAATGCGATCTTCTGTTTTTGGAAAGAGACTATCCAGGAAAAGTCATAATGTGGTAGTTTTTCCATTTGCTTTCCACATCGCAGTACAACAGCCATTCAAACCACTCTGGTCACGCCTGTTGCTATACGAACTTGAACCATCTCGAGCATCATTTGCTCTGTGCTTCAAGTCGCTGCTGATGACGCTGCTTCCGACATCAGTTTTTGGTGTCTCTCTTCGTCTGATGCCTACCCTTTGACCTGTCCAGCAAGGGAGGCCCTGCCAGTAGCTACGCTACCGCCGGCATAGCTCTCAGGGTCCTTGGCATACTCAAACCCCCTCACCACGATAAGGTGGAGACACCAACGAGGGGCTTCCGTCTTCATGGTGTAAAAAAATCAAGAAATAAGCAGAAGCAGCAGACAGCATTATTCCTGTAAAATGTTGCAGAGTTGCTAACTGACTTATGCTTGATAACACGTTTGATTGTCATATAACATTTTCAAGAATGAAAGCACTCTTTAATACCAGTTGCAGTTTTTCAGTTTTCCCTTACAAAGCCAGCAAGTAATTAATGGTCTGAAAAACAATTATAAAATGTCTGTTCTTCCAGAACATTTCTTGACTGATAAAGGGTTCTAAACAGTTATTACCAGAATTTTATGTATCAAAAGATATAAATGCTGGCAGTAAGCTTTTTCACAATGCTGTATCAACAAGCTCTTGCCAAATGAGCTGAGGTGATGATTATAAGCAGTGAACAGGAAAGGTTTTTTAAGGATGGAACTGACAATGACCAATTTTGAGTTCCTATCCCTGCATTCATTTGGGTGGATTGAGGACAACCAGAAAATATCTCACTCCACCGAAAAATCTATTAGATACTACAGTGTTCTGATGATGGTGTATAACATACAGAGATATTGGGTTTTCGGACTTTGTCCATCCTCCAGATGCTAAATAACTAAGAAAAAAACGTTTTGGAAACTGGAGCTGTTTCTATCCTCAGACGAGGGGAGACACCTACTCTGTTGGGTTCCTTAGAAAGAGATAGCCTCAATCACTGGACATCTGATGTCTAAGTCACATTGTGACTGATGGTCCATCAGTCTGCCTGTCTTGGTGTCCAGCCCCAGCTGAGGGTCATGACCGGATTTCTTTCTTTTTGTTTTCCTTTTTTTTTTTTACATTACAGTTACTGGACAACCTATGTCACAACACACTAAGGCTATACACCTGAGACCAGGCTAAGTCCATGAGAGCTAACATGAAAAAAATACAGTAAAAATTGTTCCAAGCATGAACACGTGTGGAAACAGGATAGTTAGGGAGGTAGAAATTTATAATATTATATTTCAGCATCCTGTTACACTCACACAATATATATGGATATATATATGGATATGGATATATGGATATGGATATATATGGGTACTCAAATCACATACTAAATACGGGACATTCATACGGAACAATAACAGACGTAATGGAAGTTGTAACAACGGGAAAAAAGGGTAAACATTTGAATACATTTGAGAAATACCATATATATAAAATAAGTAAGAAAGGCCTACAAATGAATGACACACACATAGAAACATACAATCCCATATTTCAAACTATATACGAAATCTATACAAGCTAACGGTACCTCCCTCCCCCCACTACCCATTCCCCCTCCAACACTCACGAACATAAAACACAGCACACAGTACACCAGACAGCAAACGTATTAAAGATAAGCAGCGACACACACAGAGAGCGCCTACACTGAGTAAGTACAAATAACAGTATAAACATATAAGAATAACATAACATGACATAACATAAGGTAGTAACAGGAATATTTGTGTATTACAGACAACACATGAACAACGATAAAAACAAGAAGTGGCCGCTGCAGCACCATAGATATAGGGCATGTACCCTGAAAAAATTTTAACAAAAAATTTGAAAAAGAAAGAACAGAGATCTTATAGACATTTTAACTTGAATTAAGTTTTAAAAAGTGCTAATTTAAAAATCAAATCGACGCGTGTAGATAAACAAAGATTTTATACAATTAGAAAGACTGGTAATTTTAAATTTTAACAAGCAGTGTAACAGCTACGTGAGTGATACACACCTGATGATGGCCATTTAGGGCCGAAACATGTAGTGTGGAGGAGGAAAAGAAGTAAAAACTACAATAAAATTTGTTGCACTTAAGACGGCATTTATCCATATATATTGTAGAAATTTATGCCATGAAACCAAACTAATAACCAAATCCATAAACCCCAAAGCATGGAATCGAAAGGAGAACTAGTGAAAACTAAGTGTCCACTACTAGCGTCATCAATGGAGTAAATCGCGTCTACCTAATATAGAACCTAATCGAAATCAATAAAGCATATATCATGTCAAATAGATCTGTGTGAATTGGTGACTTTATTGCTGATAATGGGGATCCAGATGGGAGAAAACTCCAAACTGGGTTGGCTGACTGGGTTGACCGAGCATGCCATATGGGCCACTTCCTTGCATTTTCTATACCTGTTGTGGCGTTCAATATCCAAAATTCTAGCTTCATCCCAGCATATCCTATGTCCCTCTTCATAGGCATGTTGAGCTAATTTTGATTTTTCTAGAAGACCTTTGAGGTTATGCCTATGTTCACAGAGCCGCATGGTCAGAGGTCTGCCTGTTTCGCCAATGTAGTTTCTGCCACATTCACAGGGAATGCTACAGACGCACTGTGCCATCTGTTGCGGATCTCTTTTTGGTCTGGTTTTCATGAGAGAGTTCCCAAGAATGTGTTTTGTTCTGAAGATGGTGCTAATGTTGTATCGATTCCCTATCCATTTAAACTTTTCAGAAACACCCTTCACATATGGAATATATACAGAACACAGAGGTTTTTCCTCTTTCTTTCGACGACTACTGCCCTTGGAATTAATGACCGAGTCAATGAAACCTTGGGGATAACCGTTCAACTGAAGATCGTGTCTCAGGGTATTAATTTCTTTGACCAAATCTTGTCGATCTTGGCATATGGTGGAGGCTCTGTCGTGGAGACTTTTAATCAACCCTCATTTTACACATGGCGGATGGTTAGATAGTGTGGGTGGGTTTCCTGTAGACTTGTGTGACTAGTGCCGTCTCTTTCCTGATGACCAGAACATCCAGAAAGGAAATTGCATTGTCTGACTCAGTTTCCATAGTGAAGCAGATGGAAGGCCCTGAACTACTGAGGTGGTCAAAGAAATTCTGTAATCTCTCAGGGCCATGAGGCCAGACCACGAATGTGTCATCCACGTATCGCAGCCACAGCGATGGTTTGTACCGAGCTGAGTCAAGAGCCAGTTTCTCAAAATGCTCCATGAAGATGTTGCTAATGATTGGCGAGAGAGAATTTCCCATAGCCATGCCATCTCTCTGTTGGAAGAACTTGTCATCAACCTGAAAATAGGCAGTTCTCAAGCAGACTTCCAACAGCTCTACGATGGCTTCGACCTGCAGGACAGACCGTTCAGCCAGTGTGACGTTGTGGAGCTTATTTCGATGATTTGTAGGACTTCGTCGACTGGTACATTAGTGAAGAGACTGACGTCAAAGCTAACGAGAGTATCTCAAGAATGAAGGTTAACAGTCTTCAATAACTGTACGAAGTGGCCCGAATTCCTAACGAAGGAGTTGGATTTACCAGCAAAAGGACTGAGTATCCCATGGAGAAAGCCAGCCAGTGCATAGCAAGGGGAACCAACTGAACTTACTATAGGCCTCAGAGGAATGTCCGGTTTGTGAATCTTGGGAAGACCATATAGATGTGGAGGTCTGCTGTGATATGGAGTCATACCTGCTTCGACCTGCAGGACAGACCATTCAGCCAGTGTGACGTTGTGGAGCTTATTTCAATGATTTGTAGGACTTCGTCGACTGGTACATTAGTGAAGAGACTGACGACGTCAAAGCTAATGAGAGTATCTCAAGAATAAAGGTTAACAGTCTTCAATAACTGTACGAAGTGGCCCGAATTCCTAACAAAGGAGTTGGATTTACCAGCAAAAGGACTGAGTATCCCATGGAGAAAGCCAGCCAGTACATAGCAAGGGGAGCCAATTGAACTTACTACAGGCCTCAGAGGAATGTCCGGTTTGTGAATCTTGGGAAGACCATATAGATGTGGAGGTTTGCTGTGGTATGGAGTCAACTTGTGTTTTAGATCGGTCGGAAGAGTAGTTTTGTATTTAGAAAGGAGTTTCTGTACTTTCCTCTCAACCTTGGCTGTAGGATCTTTGGGCAAGGATTCATAAACCAGCAACATGTTTAACTTATCCTTGTATTTGGATTCGTCCAACACCACTGTGAAGTTGCCTTTGTCTGCCCGAAGAAACCTAATATCCTTGTTAAGCCTCAAAGATTTCACAGCTTTCAGTTCCTCTGTGGTCATGTTAGGCCTGGAAGACTTAAGACTTCTCTAGCATGGACCTAACCTTCCACATGAATTCCATGCCCTTAGTCTGTGGAAGCTTGGAAACAACAGATTCCACTGCACATGCTATATCCAGGTTCAAGTGTGGACGCGTTACTGAAAAATTCAAACCTTTCATAAGGACTGCTTCCTCAGAGTCTGTTAAAACATATATTGATAGACTGAGGATGAATTTCCTAGATGCCGAGGCTGGGGTAGAAGAGGTTCTATTTTGTTGACTGTTGAGATGGGAAAACTTGCAAATACGAATATCTTTCTGCTTACTGAATATTTTCTTGAATGAACTTTCCACAGTGGTGAAGATACGCTGTTGGTCGAACTATTTACAGATGACCTGAGAAAATCCTCGAGTTGATGGATTTCATATAGTTGCGAAGTCTTCTTCTGCCAATGATATTGTAACCTATCCCTGAGAAGTGCCTGACTGGCACTATTGTCTCTGAAGCATTAGAGACATTGCAGACTGAGCTAATCTGTTCAACTACGAAGAAACAGCTTACTTGTGGGTACTGCAAGAGTTTTACAGAAACTGGCCAGTTTCTCTACGTACCATAATAAGAAATTTCAAAATAAAACTGTTAGGTTTAATTTGTTATAATCAAATCCATCTGGTACCTTTCTACACATATTAACATAAGTACTGCTGCAATACATTTATCATATATTTACCTGTAGCTTATTTAATAACACCAGTGACTAACACTATGTGCTATAAGATGACTGAATGGAAGAAGGTAATGGATGGATTCAGTATGAAGGAAGTGACAAAGTCATAATTTAAGGTCCTAATCCAACGAGTGCCTGCAAAAAGGGCAAAAAATGATGATACACCTGTCAGGGGAGTCAGTGGCCCACTAAGATTCAAAGTAGCCAACTTGAATACAAGCTGTTAGTGTTACTGCTTGAGCCAACCTCACTGCTAATAAATTTATCCTCAGTTCACAGTCAACTAGTCAACAAATTTTCTCCTGGGGGGGTTGGGGTGGAACACTAGAATGTTTCTATGAATGTTCAACCAAGCATGCCAGCCAGTTCAATCCAGTCCAAAAGTCTACACCCTTCAGTCTGTCTCTCTAAGGGCTGTAGCACGCACAGTGACATCGTTTGTACGATTTTTTTGCCGTACGACCTTCTTTTCACATTAGACCGACCAAATACATTTCTTTGCTCTCTGACTGTTGTACGGTAGATGTCACATGTCATCACATATGAAAGCTAAGACTACACTTTATATTCTATTACTTGCTGCAACATAAACCATATGGACATCGTACGACCGATGTCGCTGTGTGTGTTCTAGCGTAAAATACATTTCATTATCATCTCCCAAATGGTAAAGTACCATTTCATACAATTTGGCCCATAGCTCATAGAAAACAAAGAGCAGGGTGATTAACTCCATTTTGGAACACAGTTCCCAAATTTATTTCATGCAATTTTAGAATTATGCACATTCAGTCATCATCATCAGTAATCTGTCAAGACGACAGGTCCACAGTCTCTTCCAAAACAATTCCTCCACTTAATGCGATCTAGAGCTTTCTCCTTCAAATGACAGTATCCTCTTCTGTCCCCAAGGTCATCCAGCATCTTCTTACGTCTTCATCTTCTTGTCACGTCTATCCGCCATTCTATCTTTCCTTTGATAACTTCTTTTATAAGGCAGTTTCTGCGTAAAACATGACCAATCCAATTAGCCTTCTGTTTTCTTATTTCGTGTAGGATATTCCTCTGCTCACTGACTCTAATTAACACTTCTTCCTTTCTTACATAATCAGTCCAATCGATCTTCTCCATCCTTCTCCAACACCACATTTCGAAACTTTCCAGATGTTTCTGATCTACTGCCCTAAGTGTCCATGTTTCAGCCCCATACAGAGCTATGCTCCAAATGTAGCATTTCACTAGTTTCTTCCTCAAATTTAAGTCCAATTTGCTGGTAAAAAGATTCTTCTTCTTGCTAAATGCAGCTTTTGCCATGGCAATCCTGGATTTAATTTCACAAGTACACCTTCCATCATCTGTTAACAAGCTACCCAAATATTTAAAACATTTCACATTCTCCAGTTGTTTTTGGTCTATCTTTATTGTGACTGGGGTTGGTTGTCTCGAAATTTTCATTACTTTTGTTTTCTCCACATTCATTTCCATGCCATAGCACCTTCCAATTTCAATTAGTCTATCAATCATGCCCTGTAGCACAGTTTCTTCCTTAGCCATTAACACAAGGTCATCTGCATATTTCACAGTTTGAATAATTTGCCCTCCTACTTTGAAGTCACCGAGCCCATCCAGAGCTTCCTTGGTAAGGCATTCGCTGTACAAGTTGAACAGAACTGGTGATAAACAGCATCCTTGTCGAACTCCTTTTCCAATCTGCACACTTCCTGTCTCCCCTCCGTCTAGTCATACTCTAACTTTCTGATCCATGTACAATTTGCTAATCAATCTTCTTTCACGCCAATCGATACCTGTTTCTTTTAGGCTCTGCATTAATTTGGTCCAGTTTACCCGGTCAAATGCCTTCTGCCAGTCTATGAAGCAAACACACAGTTCTTCATCTATCTCCAAAGTTCATTCTGCTATAATTCTCATCATCCCAATTGCATCCCTGGTTCCTTTTCCTCTTCTAAATCCAAACTGATCCTCTATTTTCCTTTTGATTCTTCTTTTAGTTATCTTTGCTGTATGTGCAATAAGGCTTATTGTGCAATGGTCACTGCATTTTGTAGCTTTTTTCTTTTTCTTTAAGGCAATCATTGTCACTTCTGTAAAGTCCTTGGGCCACTCCCCAGTTTCATATATGGTGTTTATTAGTTTTGTCAGTGTTTTCAAACCACTTTCTCCAAGTAACTTAAGCACATCTCCAGGTGCATCATCTCCTGTAGCCTTTCCATTCCTCATGTCCTTGATAGCCTTTTCCACCTCACTTTGTAAAATATATGGTCCTTTCCTGTCTGTATCTACTTCTTCTTCCGGTTCAACTTCTAAGGTTTCTGGCCAATTAGGTCGATCATATAGTTCTGTAATATACTTTTCCCAAATTTTCAGCACTTGCCTCTGATCTACTATTCTATTCCCCTGGGATTCATTAACCCTATAAAATACAAATTCCACAATCGGTTAAGGATTCTGGATAGGTCAGAATAATTTATGTGATTAGTACCGATGGATGTACCCAAAGTTTGGAGACGTGTATGTGCTGACTGCAACATAACATGTTCAAAAGAATGCACCCATAAGTGCCCACATGGACCACAAGCTCGCGTGCACACACACTCTCCATAATTTACCCAATTTTATAACCCCCATTTTCTTGAACAAATTTTTATTACAGACTACAAACCTTTGTATTAATGTATAACGACTTTTTATTACGGTATAAAAATACCTCCGCACACACTAGTGAAGTAGTGAATGTAACAAGAAATCTAATATAAATTCAATTTGCCAGTCATGCTAACACCCGACTAATTACACTTCTTGAAGGTCATAGCAAGACTGATAACTCTTGATGCCCTTGATATCCCTCCTTATAAATTCAGGAGCGGAGATAACTCACGGAGCGGCCAATGAGACATAAACGATATAAACAGTCGTTTCATGATGATGGAACAAATTAAACTGAAAATAACTACAACGGAACATTAACACGTTCACCACTCAACTGCCATTTTCCGCAGACATTATGGACAAGACCGACATGAGGCTCTACGGAAGATTCAGCAAAACATCGCGGGAGAAACTAACCTTCTACGCCTTCTACTGTCTTCTACTTTCTTTCGATAAGGGACCGATCACATGAACGTACATTGGGGGGTGGGGGGAATAGGCGGGAACGATACACACACGGTGACACTGTAGTAAAGGATATAAGGTATGGTTATTATATGCATCTACGTCTGAATAAAATTAAGTTACATACAGAGCCAATATTTTCTTATTTCTTCTCGTCTTACATTTTGTTAGTTACATACTTCGTTATTTAAAAATACTGATGTAGACCTCTTACTTTTTATACACTTCCAGTAAAAGATAATTGGTATTTCTTTCTTGCATGGATTTTTTTTTTATTTTTGTTTTTGCACAAAGCATTTTCATTTGTAACAGCATTCGCACTAATCTCTTTACGAAGCCAATTCGTAATCTTACATATTCGGTTGCTTGTATGTTTGAATAATATGTACTATCTTCTAAGACTTGATCGTGTTTCCGAGTATCCCGGCAGATACACAGCATGACTTTTTTAAAAAAATCCGAAACATAAATTGGAACATGACGTCTGGTTCTTTGGTTTCATAGTCACGACAGTTTCTCTTCCCTTAAGGATTTTGCGTAACGTAAATAACAACACAACCGTCGCCATTTTTCCCATTGCACAGACAACTACTAACGCTACTGCCCGCCCACGAATACCAACATTGAGATAGAAAAACATCAGTCCATTCGAAAATTCCCTAAAGGCAATAGATATAATTAAATTTTCCCATTATAAAAAAAATTGAAAATTTGTAATGGACTGGTCTGTTTTTCTAGCATTCGCCGTCTTTGAGGAAGTATCTTACTCGTAAGAATACTATGTGTGTCAAAGCGTCCACCTCCCACAGTGGCCAATGAACAATTTCACATTCCAACCCACAGTAGCAACACCTTTGGAATTGCGGGAACCTGTGAGACGGGAAATACCAGGAAAGAAAATAATGATAAAAATAAGGTAACGTTGTCCCTGTCCTTAACTAATTAAGAACTCGGCCATGGAGTCTTCTGGGGGAGTGGATGTATAGATACACATTTTCTTGACTTCAGCACTAGTTGCAGGTGAGTGGTTAGCTTCACGCCCTGGCCAATTTACCCTCGGGGAAAGAGCCCTCGGTACCCATTAGATAGGAAGTTGTGTGGACCCCAGAGTAGAGAAGAGAAAATTCGTGACTCTATCGGGAGTCGAACATCGACCTATCGAACGTATACCTCATAACCAGACGATATACCGACTATGTTATCCCGGCTCGTAAGGTACTAACGGTACAAAATGTTTTATATATGTCAATGGAAGAAACGTCCCCAATCTCTCATTCTTTCTCATCAACATTTTCTTGCGCCACGAATATTACAAAAATGTGCACGTGAAGAAATTGACTGTTTATGTTAATCCTGAGACAGTGCCCTTCTTAAAATCTATTACCTTCCCCTGACAATTTAGGTAAAAGTTTATAGGACACTGTCAAGGCCGCGCCATAGCTTAAGCGGTTAGTCGCTGGCTTCCCACCGAGGCAGGCCGGGTTCCATCTCGGGTCTGGTCAAGTGGGATTTGTTGTGGACAAAGTTTTCTCCAAGTACTTCGGTTTCTCCTGCCAATCTTCATTCCACCAATTGCTCCACAATCACCCTCACCTCTTATCTGGGGCTGGTAAAATAGGTCACAAGTGGTCGCAGAACAAGGGAGTTAGTCCCACCTCACTAGCAACTAGCAATAATAAAAAAAAGGTCATTGTCATAATTGTGGTCCCACTCATAGGCGCTTTGTGCTCAGTGGTAGGCTATTCACTCACCATTGTCATGTTGTGTTGCTAGCTGATGAAGCAGATTAGGCAATTCTGATAAAGTTCGTACTTGCAGGAAGCTGTTGCC